AAAAACCACATTCAGAGACTTAGGGAGAATCCAGGCCAGGAAGGGAGGCAAGGTGCTGACCAGCGAGGGGAAAGGGGGGCTTCAAGAAAGAAAGTGGTCCCTGGCCAATGCCAAGGCTGTGTGCTGCCATCTCTGCATGCACATGGCAAGCCAGAGCCCTGCTTGGCTCCCCTCCCCTCTTACTGCTGCCTGCTCCCCCCAGAGATGTGCCTGCCATCTCTAAGCCACACCGAAATATTACCACTTACTTCATAGAAGGGGTAAAGTAAAGATAAAACAGAAATGGCCCCAGGTTTTGGATTCTGGCTTTTCTCAAACCCATGGCCTTCAGGGTAATCAGAGCAAAACAGTGGGAATCATGATGACTATGATGTCCATGGCCACCACATCCGGCCCCACCAAACACACCCACACACACCATATGCACAAGTGCAGGCACACAATCAGCAAATGCTCACAGAGGGGCTTCCCAGGGGTGCTCAGAGTGGTTAAGGCCAAAGCTGTGGACATAAACCTGAGGAACCTGCACCCCCACACCCAGGATGGTACCTGGATGCAAAAAGCAAAGGCTTCAAGGAACATCCAGGCAGTAACAGCCAATGTCCCAAAGGCTGACATTCCTCCCCAAGCCCAGGCCCAGAGGAAAAGGAAACTTTCCGTAGATATCTACAGGGACCAAATACTACCTCACACACCTAATACAATCTCAAGGACCAGCAACTACATTTTAATGCCATGGCAAGATGGCAACAAAGTTAAGTTGTTATAAAAATTATTTTTCTCCCACACCTAAATCAAAGAAGTGAGCTTACTCTCCCGCAAAATTAACATTTACATGAAATGCATGTGATGTATTTCGATGCTCTATTGTGTATCATGGATTATGTAATTTTTATCCTCTACATCCTGAAAAGTAGGCACTAAAAGCCAGGTATAAAGCTAGGTGCAGTGGTACACACCCATACTGCCAGCTAGTTGGGAGGATGAGACAGGAGGATCATTTGAGCTCAGGAGTTAGAGGTCAGCCTGGGCAATATAAGATCATTTCTCAAAAGGAAATAAAAACTACATAAAATCCAATTATTATGCAAGTAATATGGAAAAGAATTTACATCTGGCTTCAGGAAATAGCTAAGAAATGGCATTTCTACAATTTAAGTAGCCTGCTCTGGGACTCGGCCCTTTCTTTAGTAAGAGATCATAGCATCTCCTTTGACCCCCAATTAGGGATGCAACAGGGATTAATAAACTCAAATTGGCCATACCAAGCACAGACCGCTTGGACTCATAGATGGTCTCAGAATGCAGAACTCTGACCAGCTACTAAGCACATGAGAAAAGCATCTGATTGTCTTTATGGTCAAGAATCCAGGGAAATGCAAATGGAAACTACACTGAGATTCCTTCTCAACCCGGACAAAATAGCTATCATCAAGAATACAAAAAACAACAAGTGTTGGCAAGAAAGCAGGGGAACAGGATCCCTTCTACACTGCTGGTAGTAATGTAAATTAGTATAGCACCTATGTCTGACAGTTCCTCCAAAAACTAAAAAGGGCAAGATATGAAAGCAGCCTAGACGCCACCAGACCAATGAATAGAGAATATGGTGTATATCCACAATTGATATGTATTTTATTCAGCCATAAAAAGAAGAATCCTTTGTTATTTGCAGAAAAGTGGATGGGTCTGGAGATTATTGTTTTTTAGCAAAACAAGCCAAATCACAAAGACAAATATCCCATGTTCTCCCTAATATGTGGAATCTAAAAAATATTAATAACAATAAAGCAGAAGGGAGACTATTATTACACTACACACGAGGAAGGAAAGGGGGTGTAAAGGCAGAAATTGGGGAATGAATACAATTAGAATGCACTATATGCATAGAAATCCCCCAAAAATCTGAAACCAGGGAAAGAGTGTACCAAGAGGAGGTGATGGGGTAAATGATTAAAGAATGTCATGTTCACACACAAATCTGCCAAAATGAAACCCGTTAAATCTGTGTAACCAAAATGTAACCGTAAAAATGAACAGAAGTAATATTTCCTCTAAAAAAAAAAAACTCATGTGAGATAAGACCAATGGTACTATTTCTAAATTAAGAAATGATGTTATATAAATTGATTATTTTAAAACTTTCATGCATTTAAATAAAAATTTTAAAATAATCTTATCTGACTAAGCACCCTGAACATAGTACCCTAGTAGGAATGTGGAAAAGTGAGGAAATACAATAGCTCATGCCTCAGTGCCTCCAGAATAGGAAGACAAACATGACAATCTACCCAGGATAAAAAGGAAAAACAAGGTGGAAGGATAGTCCTAAAAGAAAGATCTTTCTCCCAGCTCTGTATAATCCAACCAAGCTGCAGCTTTAAAAGTTCCCTGCACTTGATTTCTGGTAACAATTATCAGAGTTACAGGCTGGAAACAGAAGGAAATTATTTCAAAAAAGAAATCTAAGTGGCAAAGCCAGGTGCCCAGAAATCAAAAGTGGCACTGTCCCCAGCCCCAAAGCCACTTCCATTGGGCTCCTTGGAGCAGTGGCGTCTCAACCTGCACTGAAGCTGGGGAGAGGGAGGTCTTTCCTCAGTCACGGCTTACACTTTGGTTTGGCATCACCAAATACATCACCTGCAAGTCCCCACCATTCATGACAATAACCAGAGAGGAAAAAACCCAACACACGCTGCTGCATGTGGCAGGAGGGACGAATCCTGCAATGTCCAGCATTTCCAAAGTCATTCCTGCACCTATGCTCTGATGAGAACCAAATCCTGATCACTGGTTTGAGGAAAATGCATCCCCAGTCTGCCAATGCTACAACGAACCAATGCCTTGGGAAAGAAACAGACGTAAGCAACAGCCCTCCAAATGGCATCCACTGGTAAGCAAATGCACTAATTCTCCCTTCACAAATTTTCACTGGCTCTGAACTGTACTGGTAGTTATTTTCAAGACTGCTTTGGATTTGGGGGAGGGGGATGGATTATAGAGGGACAGAAAGAGAAGTCACTGAAGTTTACCACAAGGTTGAAAATTGGCCCCAAAAGGTGCTTATACTCTATTCTCTGACTGGAGCAGGCCTAAACGATGGGGTAGGTAGAACCTTGGCATGGGATCTGATGCCACTGGTCCAAAGTCCCAGGAAACCACAGAGAAGCAGAATCTCAAGCTCAGAGGGCCCCACTCCACAGGCAAGCCTCCCATCAGGCTGCCCAAACAAGAGTAGGGGAACCAAGGGAGGTGGTGAGCAGCAGAGACACAGCTAGGAGAACCCCCAGTTTTGTTGTGGGGTGAGCAAGAGGTGGCAGGTGGTGGTCATAGCTTCACACCTGGAAAGGGCCCAGTACATCCACTAGTCCAGGCCTTCATTCCCTCAACATGCCCTTTGCCCAGCTTTTCCATCTCCATATGTAAGGTGATTCTAATGTGCCTGGACTCCTCTTTGACCCCTCTCACTCCTCACTGGCCAATCTTGTAGAGTTTACTTTTAAAACTGACTCAGACCATGGGCTGGGGGTGTAGCTCAGTGATAAAGCATATAACTTAGCAGGCCAGAGCCCCTGAGCTTGTCCCCAGCACCACACAAAATAATTCACCCAAGCTTCAGGGACCAATCACACAGAAAACACCAGGGCCTCATCCTAAATCCTGATAGCAGGGAGGTCTAAGGGCCAGATGAAACCACGGACTTCTCAGGAGATGCCTCTGGGCAAGATGACACAGAGGCCCAGGTATTCACAAGGTTATAGGAAACATTTCTCTCCATCACAAGGGCTTTTCATGCTTCAGATTCTTCCACAGGATTAATAGACACAAACCTCCAAACACATGGTTAATGTCACTTTGTTGCCCTTAAACATATTTACCTTTTTTCTTTATTTGTTTGTGTTGTTTTTTGTTTTTTGAGACAGGGTCTCACTATGTACTTGAGACTGACCTGGAACTCACTATGTAGCCCAGGCTGGTCTTGAACTCACAGCGATCCTCCTGCTTCAGCCTCCTGAGTGCTGGGATTAGAGGTGTGCACCACCACACCCGGCTTATTTACCTATTTTTTCTGGGCTTGGGAAAAAACACTTGACTTGATAATCAGCAAACATGTTTTTAATTTCATCAAAGAATGCAATCTTCTACCTAATGTAATAAATATACATCTCTTAGAATATAAGCTCCTGGAGTCATGCTTTTTTCCACCTAAAGCCCATAATCATATTTCTAAAAGCAGCCAGTTGGCTCTAAAATTCAAATCCAGAAAAGTGTGTACATTTCTGATAGCCACGTACTGACCTATCTTGTTTATCCAAAACTCCTTTGACACTCACTGATTTTACCTTTACAATGATTTTAATATGCTAAAACCTTGAAAAATTATTTCAATTCACTCTTGACCTTTCCCCTAAGTTTATATTCTGATTGTGTGACTTAAATAAGAGCTTTTGTTATAATGACATAAGGGTGTGTTCATAAAAAGGTAATAATTTCCACCAAGACTAACTAAAAATATCAGGGGAACAAATGTGTCATGGTTTCCTATTATGTGAACAATATACAAAAGTTAAGAAATTTTAAGATACATCCCGAATGAATTAAAACTCAAATTATATGGAATTCAGCCAGAAGATAATGTACACAATTCTAGTGAATTTTTATTTAAAGATCACATTTTTAAGGAAATACATCTGGAAAACCCTGTCCCCTTGCGTCTGTAAGAAAAAACTGCACGTGAGAGTAGGACTAGGGGTACTGGGAAGTGTAGTATCTTTTCCTAAGGCACATGTCTGGCCAAACTACACACATCAAACAACCCGTGCGGTTCCCACAGCCTGTGCAGGAGGAGCTGACACAGGAGACAGCAGTACTACGGAACAGCTGCCATTCTGTTTACACGCAGAGCTCGCAGGGTGACCGGCCTCTGCCCGGGAAGTTTTCTACTATGCAGAAGGAACACGTGAGAATAGGTAGTCTTTATGAAGCCGGAAGAACTTCCTCCCACTCCAAACCATCTAGAGGGCTTTGGAACGCAGACTTTTTCAGGACAAATGGGGTCTTAAGGAATCCCATCTTGAGGGGACCTTCCCTAAGTAACCTTAGGGACCTAGAGGAGCGGTGGGGGCGGGGAGGGTCCCGGGGTCTAGGTAAAAGGCACCGTGACCATCGGCTAAGGGTGAGCGACGCTGTTCCCAGGCCGGCACCTGCGCTGGACCACCCTGCGAGCAGCTAGGCGGGGACCCCACCGCGGCTGATGACACATCCCCCGACCTCGTGGCCGGGTGGGGTGTTCTGCACCGCGCCATGTAAGGCAAGGTCTACTCGCTGCCGGTGGGCTCTAATGCCTCCCAGGCCACCCCAGTGCCAGCCGCCCACCACCGCCCACCCGGACCCCAGTGTCCTCGGACAGGATCGCGGGGCAGGGATCCCAGGACGCCAAGGCGCCCCCTCTGACTCGGCCAGTGTTGCATCATGCACCACGCCGCGCCCTCAGGGAAGCAAAATGGACTCCGTGGAGGCTACAGACGCATGGGCACCGGCCCTGGGCGTACATCCCAGGCCCGCCCTGTCATCGCCCTGCCGGGAGAATGCTGGGGACCCCCGCGCCCGACCCTTGCCGTGTCCGCGACCCCAAGGGACTCGAAGACCCCCTCCCAAGGTGACCTGAGCGCGGGGAGCTGGGGGGTACCGGGCACTCACCGAGCGGGCGGGAGCGGATACTGGGATGCGGGCAGATCGGCGGGTGGACCGACGGGCACTCGGGCCAGGCGAGGC